TCCAAGGGGGAAATGTCCCCCAGTTATGAATATTTTAGCATGTTCGGTTCTTAGTCCAGGAGCCTTGAGGCCCATATGTCCCTGGGGGAGAGGCAAAGTGCTGACCAATTGCAGATTCATAAAGGAAGCTGCAATACTGCAGAGAGCCCTTTCCTTGACCAGTGTGAGATGTGCTCGGCCCTCTGACATTTCAGTGGATATTGCTTACAGATTGTACATTTTCTCTCATGGCTCCAGTACAACCAGCAAAATTAGAAAAGTAGCTAGCATTCACTAATTCCTACTACCTAATCCTTAGACCTCATTCAGACTCACCCAAGTGTTCTAACGGTGTTTACTTATATTTATTTAGTTATATTTTTATTTTAAGACAGGATAGCTTTACATATCCCTGGTTATACTGAAACTCACTGTGTAGACCAGGTTGGCTCCAAACTCACAGAGATCTTCCTGCCTTTACATTTTGAGTGCTGGGATTAAAGGCATGCACCACATTTATTTATTGACCTAACTATTTATTTATCTTTGTACTGATGTGCAGGGGTGAGTACACATACACCACGGTGCACACAAAGGAAGAGGACACTTCTTGGGAGTTGGTTCTTTCTTTCCGCCACAGGCTCTGGGAATCAAACTCGGGTCATCAGACTTGTGTGACAAGTGACTTTGAACCTGCTAACCCATCCTGTGGGCCCTTCTTTATTTTGAGACAAGGTGTCTCACTCTGAAGCCAGGCTGGCTTCAAGTTTGTGAAGTTACTTCTACCTCGGCCTCCCCAGGGCTGGGATTACAGGTGTAAGCCCCTGTTACATAGCAGAAAGATGCAAACAAGGCCTTTTGCTTTCATGTGTCTAGTCTCCTTCAATATCATAGAATTAATTTTTTTCCTTTTTGTATTGCTGGCAATCAGATCAAAGGCCTCCTACATGCTAGGCAAGCCCTCGATCACCAAGCTATGCTCTCAGCCCTTCAGTCTTTCTTTGGCTTCCATGGCCTTGACTTTCATGAAAAATGCAGTTAGTTAATGTGTAGGAAGGCCCTCATTTAGAACTTGTCTGATGTCATCTGAAGGTCTGATTTGGGACCTGAAATGGTGGCTCACACCTATCTCTCAGCGCTGTGAGATAGAGGCCAAAGAACCAGGAATTCAAGGCTAGTCTCAGCTACGTAGTAAATTCAAGGACAGCCTGGGCTACAAGAAACAACGTCTGTCCTCTCCATAGCTTGCTAGGTATAGAGCCATTGGGTCGGAATGGCTCTGCTTGGGTGGCCTCACAGAGAGGGTGGCTCCGACTTTGAGGCTCGGGGTGGGTGACAGTTACTAAAAGACCTGGAGTTTTGTGTCCTGAAGACAGTGGGAGATTTCAGGAAGTTCTCCTGGGATCCAAAACTGGGAGAATTCAAACCCAGGATGGGTATGTTTTTCAAGGCTAGGTGGAGTTTGCTTCAAGTGGGACCTGGTCGTGCATGCTTGCAGTCCCAGGACTGAGGAAATAGAGGCATGAGAACCAGCCTCAGTCATAGAGTGGCCCTGTTTCAAATCCCCTCCCCAATAAAAAGGTGTAGGAGGGGAAGATGGATGATCAAGCTGTGCAAAGAAGCCGGCGTGATGGCGGAGTCAGAGTGAGCTCCCATCCGGGAGCTTTCAACCCTGCATTTACCTGTCCCTGAGTCCCCATCCTTGGGCTTCCCAGGTTCCTGTGTTGAATTTGGCTCGGATGTCATCTCTTGCAATGGAGAGTTGGGGCCAGCATAGAACTCTCTCTGTAAGGCAGGCAGAAACACAACCGTTTGGGACAGAGGAGGAGCCGGCATCCGTAATGATTTAAGATGGCCGTCTGGTTGGTGGAATGTGAGTCCCTGGGGGTGGGGTGGGGTTGATATCACTGAGCGTGGAGGCTGGTGGACACAGTGGGGAGTTGAGTAGGAAGGCATGGGCTATTGAAGGAGATGAAGGACAGGACAGGCACAGAGTTGACAGGGTGGGTAGGCTGGGGTAGCCCTACAATTGTGTCCCCTCTCCCAGTCAGCAGATGAAGACTGAGTTTTCAGTTACAGTCCCCGTGTAGAGAATGTCAGGGGATCATGTTGCCAGTGAGAGGGTCCAAAAAGCCCCCATGATGATCTCTGTGACTATCTAAAACAAACAAACAAACAAGCAAACAGGGCTTCATATAGGTTCAGGCTGGTCTCAAACTTCCGATGACTTTGAATTTATCACCCTCCTGCTTCCTCCTCTGCTAGAGTTAGAGGTGTGTGCCACCACACCCGTTTCTGTAGTGCTGGGAATGGAAGTCACTCTACTGACAGAGTTATGTCCTCAGCCTAATGTCTGGTCTTTGAGGCTCTCTGTAGCTTTTGATGCCGAGATCTCTAGCTGAAGGGAACTGTATGTCTGGTTTTACCCATCAAATGACATGCCCATTGAGAGGGTGACATCCCCTGGGTGCTTTCCCTTAGACGGTGGCTCTTTCTGTCGGTCAGAGCCCCTGGATATTCCATAGGCACAGCCCCCAACCCACCCTGCCTACCCACTAATGACACATGACACTTGCAATGACTTTACACTGGTTTTATTGTAGTCAAATACACATAACACCAATGTCGCCATTTTTAAGTGTATTAGCATACCCCACACTGCTGATCTCTGGAAGGCTTTCATATTTAAGATTGAGGCTCTAGCAATCAACACTTGTTTGCCATTCTCCCCATCCAGGACCAGGTAGCCAGGATTCTATTTTGCCTGCACAGATTTGACTATTCTAGGTACCTCGTATAAAGAGAACCATGTGACATTTGTGTCTGTGACTAGCTTATCTCACTCAGTGTGATGTCTTCAATGGTCATTCATGTGGCAGCACATACCAGAACTTTCTCTTCAAGCCTCAAAACTATCCCATTGTCTATACATTATGATTATCCATTCATCCATTTGTGGGTGGACATTCAGGTTGCTCCCATTTTGTGGCTACTGCAGATAGTTATGAACACCGGTACATAAATACTACCAGCCTCTACTTTCAATCCTGTTTGAGACAGGTCTCCCTATGTAGCTCTGGCTACCCTGGAATTCACTATGTAAATTGGGCTGACTTCTAATTGTCGGCCATTCTCCTGCCTCTGCCTCTGGAGTGTTGGGATTATGGGCATGCACTAGCACACCTGGGTTGCTTTCAATTCCTTTGGCTATACACCTAACGGTGGGATTTCGGAGTGACATGGTAATGCTGCATTCAACTTTTTGAGAAGTCACCAAATTGTCACAGAACTTGTGGTTTTAAGCCACTGAAACTTGGGGGTATGTGGTATTATAGGGATAGTCTTTGTTATTGGAATCAATGCTGCATCTTAGTGTAGAATGTCTATGACCAAACCGATGGGGTGTAGAAGCCTGTGCTCACTGCTTTTCTGTTGTGGCCAATACAGACAGAATCAACCTAAGTGAGGAAACGTGTACCTCAGCTCATGGTTTCTGGGGGGGTTAGTCCATGCACATGGACCAACTGTGAGGTTGAACACATGCTAGAGGTGCAGGTGGTAGAGGAGGCTGCCTGCCTCATAGCAGCCTGGAAACAGGACAAGGACCAGACAGCAGCCAGGGCAAGATAGAGCTTCTCAGGAAATATCCTAAGTGGCATGCTTCCTCCAGCTAGGCTTTACCTCCTGCAGGTTACATACAGCAGCCAGGGCAAGATAGAGCTTCTCAGGAAATATCCTAAGTGGCATGCTTCCTCCAGCTAGGCTTTACCTCCTGCAGGTTACCTCCAAAAAGGCAGAGGCAGGTGGATCTCCTTGTGTTTGAAGTCAGCCTGGTCTACATAGTGAGTTCTAGGACTGTCAGAGTTACACGTCTCAAACATAACCAAAACAAAAAACAAAAACAAACAAAACCAAAGACCCAACACCACCTGAAGAGGACCAATCCTTTAATGTACAAGCCTTTATGAGGGACACTTCATATTCAAACTATATTAGAGCTTATTTGAGCTGAACCCAGTACAATGGGAAGAGGGTTATTCAGCATTGATGTGTTACCTCTCTGTACCAAAGACATCCATGGGTGTCTAGAATTAACAGTGGAGACCCATGACTTCTCACTGGTCAGCAACGCCCTAACGTCATGTGGGCCTCATGATGCTAGCAACACAGACATCCAAGGTCACGTGCTTTTATGACTCCCAGTGACATCACCATCAGTACTGAATACAGACTTCCATTTGGCCCTCTTGGTCAATTTTGGCGTCTTGGGGGCAACTGTGATGTGCCACTGAGTCATATGAACCTTGCCCTAACTCTTGCACTGCCACTTCCCAAATTTGACAGGCTTTAAAAAAAAGATTATGTTTATGGATGTTTTCCCTGCATCTATGTCTGTGCACCATGTGGCATGCAGTGCCATCAGAAGCAAGGCATTGGGTCCCCTGGAACTGGAACTGGGGTTACAGACAGTTGTGAGCTGCAGTCTGGGTGCTGAGAATTAAACCCAGGTCCTCTGGAAGAGCAACCAGTGCTCGTGACTGCTGAGCCATTTCTCCAGCCTCAGGATGGGCTTTTCATTTGTGGTACTGAAGACTGAACCTAGGACCTGGTGATTACCAGGCAAATTCTCTACCAGCAAGCTTCACCCTGAGTCTTCACTGGAAAATTGGGACAATACAAATCACTTGACGAGGTGACATGGACAAGGGGAAAGTGTCATGTCTGGTGGCTGCTTCTTGCCGTTAGTGCCATAAAACTCTAGATGAAGTTGAGGCCTTTCTCTTAAATAGCCTTGTTGTTAGTCAAGCTGGGAGCACCATTTGGAGGGGCTGTGGATTTGGATTTGGACGCAGGGTGTGTTGTTTGGGGACCTGCTTCAGCATTGAGGGTCTGCAAATAAGTGTGACGATGGGTGTGGGAGGCGCAGCCCAGGACACTGGGGCACAGCAGAAGGTCCGGACTGATGGGGCTGTCCAGTGGCGGGAGGGAGGAGCTAGACGAGGAGGCTGGGAGTCAGGAGATCCAGCGCCAAGCTCCAGTGATGGTAGCTGGAGATGTGAGCACTACAGAGCCGGAACCCTGAGAGCACCCCCTCCTTGAGGGATCCAGGTCTAGTGCAGGTCTGCAGAGAATCTGGCAGTTGGAAGGGACCTCTAATGTCATTTAGTTCAACCTCCCCCCTCTTCAGATCTTTCCAGAGCCCACCTGAGGGCACCCAACTCTTCTTGGCCACATCAAGGTACGGGAAGCTCACTCCCTTCCAGGCAGCCTACCCCACGACAGTGCTCGAGCCCCTAAGGTGGCCTCGAGGCGCCAGGCTCTCCGACCTTGGCCGTGTGCAGCCGTCTGGCCACCGCGGCACCTGGCTAGGGGTGGCGACGCGGCTGGGCAGGCGCTGCTGTCCCCAGCCCCAGTGCTGAGGCGCGCAGAGCGCAGTGGGCTCTGGTGGAGGTCGGGAGAACTGCAGGGCGAAGGCCGCCGGGGGCTCCGCGGGCGGCGGGGGGAGGCACTTGACACCGGCCCGGGAGAGGAGGGGCCGCTGTCCCTGCGG